CTATTCTCATGATGACAGGAAACATGGAAGCCTTTCCATGTTCCCGTAGATAAAATATTACGAGCCTCCTTTGACCTTCTGCCCCATAGACCGATTGGCAGTCAGACTGGCCGTGATCGCTTCCTTCACCCCTCGATGCCACCCGTGGGCATCCAGGACGTCCATCGCCTTCTCCGTACTACCCCCGGGAACACAGACATCGTTCTTCAACTGTGCCAGTGAGACGCCGGGGATTTCACGCGCGAATGCTCCGGATCCAATACAAGACTGCGTGATTAGATCCCGGGCGAGAGACTCGGGAAGTCCGAGGGACATGCCAGTCGCGACCATACTATCCATAAGACGGTAGAAGTAGGCGGGAGCGGATCTGGTACGAGTTGTCGGATTAGCAAGACTGTCTTCCACGGAAAAGTTTGAGGTGCGCCACTATGACCCAAAGAAGGGATGAGGAGGAGGGTAACTCACCCTGAAATGGCAGCCACCACATTTAACTGGTCTTCATGGGCCAGTGTGACGACGCTCGGCGAGATTGCCTCGAACATGCGGGTGAGAGTATCCAGCTGGCAGGGAGTGACTAGTGACGAGGGGAAGAGTCCGGTCGCCCCCTGGCAAACCATAACCGGGGTGTTGGGCATCGAGCGGACGATAGGCGTGCCTGTGGGAAGCCATCCTTGCAGCTGTGCGATGGTGATGCCTGGACAGAGGGTGATCACGACAGGGGGAGTGCGACTAGCTTGAATATGGGGGTAGATATCGGCACAGACCAGCTGGACATGCTGAGGCTTAGTGACGATGAAGAGAAAATGGCCTTCCTCGTCATCAGTCGTCTCCCCCTGCCAGAGCGCTGGATCCCCGTTGTCGAGAGTTATCGCAAGCCCAGGAAATTCCTCACGCAGACAGTGAGCGTGTTGCTCACGTCGGACCGTCAGAGTGATCTTGCTGGGGTCTAGGTTCAAAGGCGAGGCTATAAGACCAGTGGCGATACCTTTGCCCAAGACCCCGCACCCGGCAATAGTGATGCGAGGAGAAGAGTAACCAGAGTTACGAGAAATCTTGTGAATCATGATGAGCACAAAGTTAGCTGACTTGAAGGGTGAGCCATCATGACCAGCGCGTCGAGGTGGTAGGATATAACCAGAAAGACGATGGATCACGTGATTTGAATGAGGAGGAAAGAGTCGAGTATGCCTGCCTGCTTGCCAAGGCCCGTAGACAGCCTGTCACCCAAAGGAGTTAAGTCTATGATAACGTATCCACTAGCTAAAATTCGCCTAGTCTAGTCGAGGAAGCAGGAAGGTATCATTGGGGTTGTGGATGGTGCCACGGGGGGTGACAGCGAGTGTAACCGTGCGGGAAGAGCCGTCGTCGACCGCCAGCTCGAGCCCTATCTTTATCGCCACTAGTAGTTATCAGCCGCTCGCTCCCCCCCGACATCGGCTCCCTCGCAATCAAGGGTGCCAATTCGAGATAAATACATCATCTTTTTTGGTTTCGAGCAGTAACAGTAGTAGTCTACTACCAAATACAACCTGAATCCTTCCAAGCCTCCGCTTCTACCAATCGCCCGTCGCCATGGGAGTTGCCACCGAGAACAATCTCCCGCAACCCTTTGCGGAGGAGACGATTCTCGCTCTGCTGGACTCGATCGGTCTCAGCCGTCCTGTCGCAATCAAGCCCCTGAAAGTGACCGCTGCTTTCCACATCATCTACGTCTTGACCTACCCCCGAGCAATCATTGCGCAACTCTTGCGATCGGACAGGCCCCTCCCCTTAAGTGGGGAAGAAGAGGAGGTGGACTTGATCCTGCGCATCTCCGGGGATCATGTGCCGCGCATCAAGACGGAGAATGAGACCGCGATTCTGACGTGGCTGCGCGAGCACACCTCCATCCCTGTCCCCGAAGTTGTTGCCTTCGATGTGACCAGTGCCAACCCCTTAGGTTGCGAGTATCTGATTTGCAACCGGTGCCCGGGCCAAGCCATCTCCGACATCTACTCAACTCTAAGCGAGGCTCAACTCGACTCGATTCTGTTGCAGCTGATGAAAATCCTTCTCGAGCTCCATCAACACCAGTTCCCACGAATCGGAGGGCTGGCCTTCGACGAGCAGCAGCAGCAGCAGCAGCAGCAGCAGCAGCAGCAGCGGAGCGTCACCGTCGGCCCCATGCTGGACGAGCATTTCTGGTTCACCAGTGACATCCCGCGCTACTTCTCCAAAGAGGAGACCTTTACGACCCTCAACTTCCGCGGGCCCTTCGACAGCTTCGCCGATTACGTCTCTGCCGCCGTGCGATCTTACCTGCACGTGGCCGACATCCATCCCTCGCTGCAGCGCCCCCTGGGCCCGTTCCGCTCACGTATCGCCGCCTTCCTCAATCGCCTCCCCGCGCTCGCCGGGGACACACCCACAGAGTGCAACTTCTACCTCGCGCACAAGGACCTCCACTTTGCCAATATCCTCTACGACCCGGCCGCCGACCGCATCACCGCGATCTTGGACTGGGAATTCGCCGGCACCGTCCCCTATCCGCAGTGGGATCCGGTACGCGCCTTCCTGTGGAACGCGCAGCCCGGCCAGGGGTCGTTTGACGAAAAGTACCGGCTGCGCGATCGGTTCTGGCAGCTCTGTCGCGAGCACGGGGCCGCGGTGTTGGCGGAGACGGAGTGGCGGGACCAGCGGCTGGAGAGTATGCATCTCGTGCGGAATGCCTTGCGGGGGATCACAACCAATGTACCGCGGGGGCTGCACCCCGAGGCTGTAGAACGATGGTTCGGTGATCTGGAGAAGGGGCTGGCTTACTTCCAGCTGTAGACGGAGGAGAGAAGGGATTGGGGGGGGGGAAGTCAAGAATTACTGGGCTTAGTTGTCGTCTGATGAACAAGTAGGGACGGATGATCATATCGCTGGTTCTATGAATATTTCAGTCAACGGGGGACCCAGTACTCCTGCTGCTTGAAGGGAAGGCTCCAGCACAGACGGGTGTATTCGTGGTAGGCTGCGTATATATCTTTACTTGATGAAAGCTACAGTGCCATCTATCAGGTTGACTCCACCAATTTCCCTTCCAACCACTTTCCAATCCGCACACAGTTATCATCCACCGCCACTGCAAACCGATCGGCCACCCAGAACACCACGAACAGCAACACGGACCACGCCAGAAAGAATCCCATTAGATACGGGCCCGTTGCCTCGTGGCCCGTGATCCGCCACATCAGGGGGAATAGCCGATAGCCCAAGCCATGCATCAATGGCCCATGGACGATGTAGATCGAATAACTGATCCAGCCCAGATACTGCACGAGCCGGACGTCGAACACTCGCGAAAGGCGACTCTCTTTGGCGCTGTGGGAGATCACCCCGACGAGGATAATGGCCCCCAACGAGGGGAAGACGCGGTAGAAGCGCACGTCCCACGAGGGAAGGATCTTGGCTAGGGTTATGTAGCCCGGGGTGCGGTGAATGCACTTGTCTGGGGCGGATAGGAAATACAGGGAGATCAAGACGAGCACCGCTCTGAGGCAGAGGATGAGCAGCCCCGTGTTGTTGGCGGGAATGATGGTTTCGGGGGCCCGGGCAGCGTCCCAGCGGAGGGAGGTTTCGGCCAGCAAGCTGCCGGCCAAAAATAGGACCATCACCCACCGAACATGACCGTAGCAGTAGGCAATCAGACCGATAACACTGGCCACGCGGTACCGGTAGCGGAGCCGCACCAGCACCAGGAGAATGAGGAACAGCAGGAGCGAGGCCCGGAACTCCATCGGGATGGTCCACAGATGCACGTCGTACTCGGGATAGGTCTCCTCCCAGGCAAAGATGTTGGTCATGTTCCACATCATGGACGCCCAGTGGGCGGTCTGCGCCCCGAAAGTGGGCAGCCGGGCTTGGTGGTACTCGTTTTCGGCGGTAATGATGGTTTCATCCATTGCAACCTGGGCGGGATAGTCCCAGGCCCCTGTCTGAATCAAGACCATGGTGATCAGCGTAGCGAGGGTCGTGGGCAGGAAGAGGCGGAACCCGCGGCGGAAGGTCGAGGAGCTCAGACTGGGGAAGACAGCCTCCAATTTGCTGGCTCGCACCAGCTGCCAGGATCGGTAGGATAGCACGAAGCCCGAGAGCACGAAGAAGATACAGACCGGGGCGGACCCGGAATAGACAAGCCGAATGATTGGCAGCTGGTGGAGGCGCAGATTGTGCTCGATGGGCTCGTTGTTGTGGGCGCAATGAGGTTCACGATGAGCCTCCTCGGGGGTAAGCCCGTAGCCGTAATTGACGAAGTTGTGAAAGGCCGAGATGATATGGTAGTTGACCACGCAGAGCGCAGCTATTCCGCGGAGCCCGTCAAGAGGGGAGGTGCGGCGCAGGGATGGTCGTTCAGCATTGTCTCGCCATAAACTGGTGATGAAGTATGGCAGTAGCGCCGTGAAAACGAGAGTGAGGCAGTTGGGAAGCTTCTTGCGGGCTTTTTGCAGCCATGCCTCATAGACATGGGGCTTTTGTTTCTCGGCATCATGTTCACCATCGACATACTCGTCCAGCTCTAGTGAGGCCGTGCGGTGGGAGAGAAGCGGCTCCATTAGGTATGAACCGGGAGAGAAAGAGAAAAAGAAAAAAAAAAAAAAAAAAAAAGCTCGACACGAAGAATCAACCCGGGGCACAGAGACCACTCAAAAGTCATCCAAACGTTTGCTCTTCATTTTTGTATTCCGACGGTGCAGTAGTTACAACACAACAGGCATGACAGATGATGGAATGGCCCTGCAAGACCAGAGCTGCAGGACAGGGTTCACAAATCAGGTTAGAGCGGGGAAATTAAAGCTGGAAACTCCGAGTTCTCATTACACAAGCCAGTGTGTCAAGCGTTTGGCTTGCAGCGATGATCTTGCGATCTGGCCAGAAGTAGGGCTAATTTAGCGCAGGATTGAAGAGAGAAACGGAGGATCGAGGCTGATCCTTCCAATACCTCGTAAAACACTAGCCGTATTATTCTTCCCCTCCAACTAAAAAAATGTCCCGATAGCAATCAAGCCAAAGATGCTCGCCGCGGCAACAAATGACAGTCCGACCATCGACATCGACTCATCCAATTGTGCCCCAAAAAGGCAGGTATACGACATCGCCGGCGCCGCGATGGCATCGAATACCGCCTCGAGCATGTTATCCGGCAGCAAGACTCCGTCGGACCCCATCAACCGCGCGATAACGCCCCCGACTGCACCGCCGAAGCCGATACCTAGTCCATACAGCACGACTCCTAATTGCATTCGTAAGATTGGTGGATTAAGACCTCCTGGCATCGAAGAACGAGGCGATAACATACCTGTGTACACTATCATGAGTGAGCGTGGTGCTGATAACAGAACCGCCCCTATAGCCATGCACACTGCACTGCCTCGCATCGTCCACAGGTCAAGCTGATAGGGGCCAGAGAGAGGTGCCGCATCGGCCGAGTGCGTCGGGGATTGCCGTCGCAAGAAGAGGGGTCGAATGCAATGCATGAGGATGGCGAGTCCCATCAGGCTGACGACAGCTTTGAAGCAGAGGAGGAACCCGGTCTAGAGCACCGGGGATGGTCAGTATCATTGCTCCGGTCCACGGAGTGCAATCTTCGCGAGGAGTTACCAACCTCGGCCATAGTCCCTTGATAACGGCGAGACACGCTCGGAAGGAGAAGGGAAAATGGGTAACGTCCGATGCGGGATATGAGGCATGTCGCAACGAGCCAGGAGACCCGCAGGTCAGACCGCGAGGGAAACTCGGGCTTCCTTAGTTGTTTCAGGCAAGAAGTCGCCCAGGTGGTCAATTCGTGCTGTTCTGTATGTTGGTCGGCAGTACGCTGGCGTGGGTTCAGCGGCCGTTCATCGGAGGGTATCAGAAAGGCTAGTGGGAGAGTGACGATAGGGAGGACGAGACTCAGTAGTAGCGACACGTAGACACCATAGCTCAAGGCAAAGGAGGCTATTGCGGAGCCAGCAAATTCGGCGGCTAACAGGGTGGTGGTGATATGAAATGTATACGAGTGGCTGGGAATAGTCCATGACAATTCACGTTAGTGTTCGATGCTCAATTCTTTTGAGTTTGGTTCTGGCTTTCAAAGAAGGTGGTAACGGTACCGGTCGGATGAAGCTGTCATGTCACTAAGCAAAGACAACATTAGGGCTATTGTGGTTCGCGAATCGCCGCCGAACAGTCGAAATAATGAGGAGCACCACGTCCAGGCTAAAGGCAGTTCTGACCATCCTGTATCACGTCTGTGAGCTAATTCATGCCTCAAAATCCTCACCCTAAAGAGCCGGTTAGGGCATATCCATACCCACGAAGAGGATCCAGCCTTCTGCCAAAATTGTACCCCCCCAATTCAACACAAGGATGAAGCGACGAGAGAAACGTTTCCGAATGTATGTTAAAATAAGAAGGTATAGTATATCTAAATGGAGAAAGACGAAGAGTCAGTACCGTAGCTTCGATAGGTAGAAGAAGAAAAGAACATGATGATGAAAAGTACGAAGTGGAGATCATCTACCGGGGACACAGTCAAAGGCAACCTGCCATCCTTGGATATAAGAGGCATAGGGAAGGATCGCTCCCTGTGGAAGGCCATGAGCAGACTGATATCGATGTTGAGAGTTCGCAGTGATTATAGACTCATAAAGCCGGAGATGGGATAGGAGCTGAATCGAAGCACACAGTTGCCGTAAAAACACTATCGAGAAACAGAGAAATGGTCTTTGAGATTTGGAGCTGGGTCGGGAGTTGGAGGAAGCCGGCGCAGATAGCAATGGCAATGTCTCATCGGAGCCCTTACTTCGCGCACAATCATTCGAAATAAACCAAAGATTGATGGCAGACGACTCAGGTAACGATATCCATGCCATCTCGGAAGATAGGGGAGGATGATAGAGGTCAGATCAACACTGGGGTTCCTAGAGTGTAAGGTATCTTTCATAAGAACTTTCTAAATGAACGTAACCGGCTGGATTGGACCGAAAATGCCCAAGGGACTTCTGCCCTCTGACGGGTGATATTCAAGTGTTCACTCCGGAGCTAAGAGCAACATGCTCGATATCCCGGACATTCCGGGTGACCAATTTACTCGGTGATAAGAGCCTGAGCAGGCGGAAACTTTGCAGGAGCGCGGACCAAAAATCAGGGGAGGGGCTGGTGCGCATGAAGCCGGTAGGAAGTCTGACCAGGCTGGTAAATTATAGCAGCATGCGGGCCCAGACGATTGGATTGCCCTAGTTATCCCGGGCTAGCTTCCCCTCCTCTGGTCATTGCTCATCAGCAACTCCAATTCCCAAGCTGAGCTCTTTCCCCCTCACTTCCATTCACTATCGATCTCTCTCGCGGCATTGAAAACCAAGCATTCATTCTACTTCGACAACTCAATATGCAGTCGTGGGTGCTATTATCGCGTATCAGGCGCTTACTGAATCGCTGGATTTCTTCCCAACAGCCCCAGTACGAGCAGGTGGAAGCGATTGATTTAGAAGAGCTTCATGCTGATGGTTCCCGCGTGGATGTGGCACGACACGAGTATGGCATCTTGCAGGACTGGCTCACCTCTTTGATGCGCTCGATTCAATCAGCCGACTACTTGGAGCAAGCTTGGTTGCCAGGCAGCTCGAAAGATGCTCATTACTATGTCCCACTGGCAGGACTGGCACGCAAATCCCAGTGGCTAAAGACAATTACAAGCAAGGAGTTTCTCTGTCCTCTATTGGCTTCAGCTGGACTGGAGGTATGATCCCACAGAAGCATTGTGACCCCAGGTAACAGTGCATTGACCAATTGGCATTGACTAGATGCTTGCCTCGCTCTTGACGCTTCTCCTCCCGTTATTCCTACGACGAGTTCTGCAGGATCCCACTCATATCGGGAACTTTGTGGCTCTTTTTCTAGCTAGTGCGGTGGCTACGCTGGCTGGACGTGCCAAAGATCAGATCTGCCGAGTCCTATCTGTTCGAGCTTCATCTGTTCTCTCTATGGCTATATTCCAAAAGAGTGTTCGTTTTTCGAACCTGGCGCATCTCCGGAGTCCCGTGGGAAAGGTCTTGGGCAGCTCCACAACCGATATGATGCTAGTCCGAAACTATGTGCTCAAGGTTCATGATATTTGGAGTAGTCCTTTGCAGTTGCTGCTTATCGCGTTTATGATCGTTCGCCTGCTTGGTATATCTGGGGTCGTGGGTAAGGATGGAGCCTCGCTGCGTGACCGAAACCAGTTATTAACTTGCATCAGGTTATGTGGCAATGTCACTCCTTCTTTTTTCCCAGACTCGGGCGAACGCTGCGGTGGGTGTAGCAGTCGAAGACTACCTGCGCATCGATGAGGTGCGCATCAATCATCTCAACTCCGCCTTCCAAAAGATCCGCGGTATCAAATCGTTGGGATTGGAGCCTATGTTTCTCAAGGAGATACGATCAGCCCGGGAGATGCAATTGGAAGCCCTGTGGCGTCGCCTGCGCGTCGTCTTCTGCTTTTTTATCTCCATAAACCAGATGATTCCTGCAGTCACCGCCATGGTTTCCTTGACAAGCTACTGGTATACTGGCCATGAGTTGGTGCCAGAGGTGGTATTCCCTGCCTTGACATTATTCGAAATGACATTCTCGCCAGCCTCCAAATTCTCCCTCTCGGTAACCCGTCAGTTCTCTATTCTCCCGTGTGTCCGACGCATTCTCCATATCCTGCACCAAACGGAACATCGGCCTGCCAGTCACGAACCAGGAGAAGCCCCCCAGTCGAGCGATGCCAGCGCCGGCAATATGATCCATTTCCATGATGCGAAAGTATCCTATCCGAACGCAGATGACAGTGCGACTAGCTTTGTTCTAGGACCGATCACCATGGGTATACCGGCCAATAAATTGACAATCATACACGGAGCCAGTGGAAGTGGTAAGTCCACGGTGCTTGCGGCCATTGGCGGGCAAGCCGAGGTCATTGAGGGTCAACTCCTACGAAATCCGGCAACGATGGCCCTATGCACTCAAGACCCCTGGATCATGTTAGGTACTGTTCGTGATAATATCACGTTTCTGCGGTCTTACGAGCCTGTGCGGTATCGTCAAGTCGTCCGCCTCTGCTGCCTCGAGTCAGACATTGCCTCGTTTCCGGGCGGCGACCTCGCAATAGTAGGGGAGAGTGGCGCTAACCTCAGTGGTGGACAGAAGGCCAGAATCTCTCTGGCACGAGCTGTCTACAGCGAGGCAGATCTTCTACTTTTGGATGATTGTCTGGCTGCAGTTGATCCCCGGGTGGCGCGCAAGCTGTTTCATGAGTGCATCCTCAAGCTGCCGCAGACCGTTATTTTAGGTAATGTTACATCTGCATTAGAAAGACGTCGAATACTAAGTAAGCTCGTGATAGTTACACATCAGGCCGAGTTCATCCGATATTGCGACCATGTTGTTTCTTTAGCCAACGGCATGGTTGCGGAGGCAGGAAGCCCCGAGGAGTTACGAAAATCCCCACATGGCATTATTGGGTCAATCCTTGTCGGTGAGACAGGGACTTATAGCAAGGACCTGGATGGAGTTATGAGCATGGAATCAACGTCCAAGCCAGATTCTGCTGATTCCAAGCAGATCACTTTGGTGGAGGAGGAGCGTGCCCGTGGTAAGGTTGACACTGAATTATATCGATTCTACTTTGAATGTGCTGGAGGCCCTCGGTTCATAATGCTGCTCTCCCTCATGCTCTTTCTCACCGTCGCTGTTCGAATTGTCAACAGTTTCTGGTTACCATGGTGGATGGGAAATGTGCTATCTGTCTCGACACCTACTTATCTTACAGGATATGCTCTAGTCGTCATGCTACAGGCCGTCTTCATTGGTATGTTTTGCTTCATACAACTGACGGACCAAATTCGGTACTGACGATGACAATCACGCCTGTAGCCTCAGTTGGGGTGATTCTTGTATTGGGAACGATGAAGGCTAGCCGGAGTATCCATGAGGGCGTTGTCACCCGTCTCTTCCGCGCACCATTGGACTTCTTCAGTGGACAGCCTCTAGGTCGCGTCTTGAACCGGCTATCGGTAGATATCGATGGAATCGACTTTCGACTCATCAATGCGGGCGATTTGTTGCTCATGGCTGCAACATCGCTGTTTGCGGCGGTCATTGTGCTTGTCTGGAGCTCCCCCTACCTTCTGCTGGCCTTCGGACCGATATTCTACTTCCAATACCGTATTCAATCTCTCTATCGAGTGTAAGTGATGCGTTACCTGCCAAACGTCGTGAACTGCAGTTTGACAAGGACTGATGAATAACTCCTGTACGCCAGGTCTGCCCGCGAACTCCGACGCGTTTGTTCTATCCTAGACTCCCCCGTCCTCTCCGTTATCACGGAGAGTATGGCTTCGATGCCGACGATTCAGACGTATGATGCACGAGAGCTGTTTGAAGAACGTCACCGTGTAGCCCTTGGTCGTGCCATTGTCGGAATTACCGTCCGCTATGCATTGGAAACATGGATTACACTGCGGATCGAGATGCTTTCAGTGGCCCTGCTGGGGTGTGCGGGTTTGCTCGGGGTCTTCGGTGTGCTCGACTCGTTACAGATGGGGCTCATCTTCACCCTCAGCATTTCACTGTCGAAGCATATGCACCAGTTTCTGTGGTCTTTGATCAATGTCGAGGTCGAGATGAACTCCACGGAACGACTGCGCCACTACATGACTCGGATCCCGGTGGAAGATGATCACCGCGTGCAGCCGACGAGCCCAACCTGGATGGGGGATACTCCGGACGGGGCGCATCCTTACATTGTAATCAAGTCTCCCGACTCCGAGTCCGAAGGTGAGATCATCTTCTCCAATGTCACCGTCCAATATCCGCGCAGCCACAGCCCATCCCTCCGCGATTTCTCGATGTGCATCCGAGCGGGCGAGAAAGTGGGGATCATCGGACATAGTGGTGAGTGTATCGCAACCCCCTCTTTCCCCATCGCCAGCTCTCGTATCTAACACCCACATCCTTGCCTAGGCTCGGGCAAATCGACTATATTGGCGGCTTTGTCAGCCCTCGCCCCGGTGGTGCACGGTCGGATCACCATCCGTGGGACTCCGATCAACGACCTCCCTCTCACCACCCTCCGAAGCATGGTGCACGTCCTCCCGCAAGACTCGGTCCTGTTCCCCGGCTCGGTGCGTCAGAACCTCGATCCGCAGAGCTCTCACTCTGATGGCACCTTACTCCATGCGCTTTCCGTCGTGGGGGCATTCCACGCCTTTGACCTCCGACGGAGCGGCCCACTGTCCGAGGATGGGGGAGCGCAGGCCGATCCTACACCCCACCGCACAAACAGCAGCGCTCTGCTGGACACCGTGATTGCACCCGGGGGCACGAATCTTTCGGCTGGACAGGCGCAGCTGATCTGTTTGGCCCGCGCTCTGCTGGCCAACCCTCGCATCCTCGTCCTGGACGAGGCGACCTCGAGCGTGGACTTGCAGACGGAGAACCATATTCAGCAGGTCTTACAGGAGCACTTCCGTGATAGTATCATTTTGTGTGTGGCGCACCGTCCGACGAGCGTGGCGTGGATGGATCGAGTGATCGTCATGGCAGACGGCATGTGTGTCCGCGAAGAAGGCCGTGCGGGTATTCGTGCGGATGTTTGAGACATGTCTCCAAATTACTAGGGCGCTATTCGGGTTGACGAACTTGTTTTGGTGAAGTTGTTGTGGTGAAGGAATAAAAGGCTCGCCACAATTGACTGTAAGGGTGGGTGTGGCAACTTCGAACTTGATTGAAAGTGGAAAGCAGTTTTATCCTACAAATCCAGACATTCAAGCGTAAATCACCCAAGGCGTTCAGGTAAAGAAGAGGGAAAGTGTATGATATACATCCTTTAGCCAAGAGAAGGCTCTCTTTGTCTTATAGTATACTTCCTAAGTAGACCACTGTGCATTCTCGACAAGGTTGCAGTTTTGGTCTTTTCATCACGGTGGTTACTACAGGCTCACAAGAAAGATCCTAAGCTAATTTGATCGAGACATCAACCTCAGTTACTATCAAATATTGATCAGGGTTAAAGATTCTGCAATACCACCTGCCACTTAGAGATTCATATGCTTTATCCACGTTCTGTCGGTGTTTGTTCCTGGATCAGGGTCAATAGACTACAGTGCAGCCTTGATTACCAGATCGCTGCCTTTCGCTCTTCTAGTATATGTGAAGTTGACCAGCCGATCTTGTCAGTCGCACCCCCACCACGGTCTATGCTATACGTGCCGGAAACCGGGCGGGATGTTGAAATTCCAAACCTGTTGTTGGTCTTATCACGGCGCCGGTAGTGCACCCGTCAACGCGGGCACAGAGCCATTATTCTCTTGCCTGCCGTGCAAGGGAAGAGGGTGGGATTCAGTGAGCGGGGTGGCGGTACATACGAAGATGAACAGGTCAGCCGGTAGGAGCACAGAGCACACCAGCGCGGAAGCCTCGGCGGTCGTTCAGGACCATGTAGCAGTACAGATAGAGGCAGTAGCCGGCGAGGGCGAGGGTGACGCCGATCAGACACAGACACGGCGGAGGTCTCGGGCATCAGGGCTAGGAGAACACAGAGAACCAGAGAGTCTGTAAAAACGCAAAAGCCAAACCTGCCAGACACGGTAATCACTAATTAAGCTCTTCGCTGGTTGATTCTAGCTGATCGTATTGCTTCACATATATATGGGCAAATCCAAGGGCACCCGGCTTTCACGGTCGCATTCTAGGTATTGAGTCGCCTGGTCAAAAAACATAATTGCAACTAAGCGGGGGGTTATCAATAACGATCAGAATGCTGAAGCAATGCATGCTCCCAAATATCCGACATGATCGCACTGTTGAACTTCGCAGATATTGTCAGCGGAAAATCTTGTCTGCGGGTTCATACAAGGGGATCACGGTGCGTAAGCCACAAAACAAGTTGAATCATGGCCTGAACGAAGGTAGGTTGTGGAGAAGTATCAATCAATACCATTAGAACCTATACTTGAATCCAAAATCGCCATCAAATTTCGAATCCAGTACGCTCCTGGATACTTCTCTATTGAGGAAGTTCAGTGATCACGGCCGGCGTCCCCTTCGTCGGGTCCTCAACATCTGCAAGCTCGAAGATAGCAAATTGCTTATCAAGGTCCTCGATCTCCACCTGCTTGGTCTCGGGAATGAAGAACCATCCAAAGAGAAAAGCCAATGCTGACAGGGAACCATATATAAAACCTAATTTACCGCCAAGGTCAACATGGTGTGGGGTATCGGCCGTTTCCATGTAAGGATATGTGAAAGTCACGGCGAATCTATTCACACGGGTTAGCGTTGGACCGTGCATCGCGGAAGGGAAAGAAACAGGATCTTAACATACTCGGTGACTAGCTTGACAGTATATGCGATCTGAAGCGTCATCTCGCGGAGAGGAGAAGAGGGAAGCTCGGCACCCAGCACGTATACCAGGGGAGCCCAACCCAGAGACCAGCTGAAGCTGAAGAGCAGGAGCATGGCTACAATCCCCTGCTTGGCGTGGACATTGCTGGAATCCGCGGTGCCCAGACCGCCCATGGTCATTAGAGCCGTAGTCTGGAGTAAAGAACTGGTGTGGAAGAGCATTCTTCTCATGGTTAGTATCTGTATTGATGAGATGACAGTGGGAAGTTGGGTACTGCTACTCACCGACGTCCGACGATATCGATCAACGATGCACAAATGATAATAGCGCCAATATCCACAGCGTTCGTACCGAGGGTCACGCTGAACGGATTAACCGACTTCAATTGCTTGACAAACAAGGTTCCGTACTGCGAGGCGAAAGCCTGACCGGTCGCCTGCTGGAAAAAGTTTGCCGCAGCAACCACAAAGGTACGCTGCCGGTTCTGGCGCGTGAAGAGATCCCTGAACGACTTCTTCTGGAGTTGCTCGGCCACCTTGGCAGAGAGAACATCGAACTCCTCTTGTATGACCTGTTCAGGAATATCCTTCGGCTTGAGGGCAGTGAGGGCCTGGAGGGCTTCGATCTGACGATCGCGGAGGAGATACCAGCGTGGAGACTCGGGAATAAACCAGACCAAACAGAGGACTATGAAGGGAATGACGAGGATCAGGCCAAACGGGATCCGCCATGCGGCATCGGTCGTCATTGTCTTCGTTGCTCGGGCCACGCCGGTGATGAACAGCCCACCGCACTTGATACTCAGCCAGTATATCACCCCAATTCCACCTCGGTTCTTGGCGGGTGCCAGTTCGGCAAGGAAGGTGGGAATAACGGCCAATTGCATTCCAAGGTAGATATCTGCAGCCGTATGAGCCTCGTTAGCCAGATTTGAGAGACTTGTATGGAGTGAAATCACGCACAGTGAAGCGCTCGTGCCGTCTGAAGTTGAGCTTGGGTGGTAGAGCTAACTACGACCGAAGCACTCCCGAGAGCATAAACACTCATCGAGAAAATGCACATTCGCCGTCCCCATCTGTTGCTGACATAACCACCGAGGAAGACTCCTATCGAAAGGCTTCATTAGCAGCTGGTCACTTGTGGAATCGAACAATAAACCCAAGAGAAGGCTCCACTCACCGATAATTTGACCGGCGGCTTTAATACTGTTGTACAGGGAGGTGTCCAAAGCCGGAATCTTCCAGGTATGGGTCGAAGCGTCGTATTTGCCAAATTGCCTGATGAAAGAGTCCATGGCCTGACACGACGAGAAGGCCTGGTCGCTCAGACCATAATTGAAGGCCGACAGTGCCAACAGAGCCGTCGAGAACAGCAGCGTGGAGCTGATATTCCATTTCCTCAAAACCATCTTGCCGGAACCAGACCGAGAACGTGCCAGGAAATCTGAATTGGAGGGGTAAGTGCCAGGATTTATCTGATCCGTGTTCGATTGATAAAATAAGATGGATAACTCGGCAGAACACGAAAGAGAAAGGGGTATCCGCCCTAGCCAGAGAATCCCATTTGACCGCGGGGTTATCAATCGGGTTGAATCTTACAGTACTATTTACCGGTGTAACTGTATTTTCAAACATTAGTCATAGCATTGAGAGTACTACTAATGGCGATGAAAACCTGTTCGGAAGGGATCGGATGCACCAGACTCCAGTTGTGACAGGGCCTGGACGCTGCCTCGGTATTAGTGACTGCTCTATAGCCTTGTAAGGCCGAGAGTACCAAGCTTTGTTGGGCCAATTTTAGCCGGGCTCGGCAAAAAATACCCGTCGCATCGACGAGACATGCGTACGGGTTTTGTAATCCAGCCCCTCAATTTGCTCCACTATTACGTTCACGATCCACCTCTCACTGTCTAGCAAAGATTTCAAATTTTTATTTATGTTGCCTAGTGCACTGGAGGGTGCGAAAACTGTTTGAAAGCTCAGAAGAGTGAGTGCCCTTTACCATATGCTATATCTCATAGTAAAACCCATTCATAGGATCAGAACTCGAGCAGCTTTGTGTAAATTCGTGGTGCAGTAATGCTTCAGCGGGACAAAAGGGGGGAATAAGAATTGAAGAGCAGACTTTGCTGAATGTCCAAGCCCCCAAAACAAGCTCACACCAGTGAATCCTGTATTCAGGCTGGTAAAATAAGCACCTGGTAAAATTGACTGCTAACAGCGGGGCCAAGGAATATCATCATATTAGGACGGCTTGGTTCGTGGACGAAGGGAAGAGGAACGGAGATTAACAAGGCCGAAATCTTATTGGGTTAGGGGTTGGCTAGGGCGCCCCGAAGAAAGCAATAACGCACACCACATAGCCGTGACTGGAAATGCCACATACATGCGAGATATCCACGTCTGACTGACATTGCCTCCTTGACACTGCTATGCAGTCGGCATATCTCAACAATTTCCCAAGGTAGCCACAACACAAAAGTAAAATTTTCACTCTACCGATGTGCAGTGCGCATAGCTGCCAAAGGCCAACGGTCTCCTTGTATCCGGTCCGGCGCCATTGGGATTACATTCTTGGGATCGGGATTTGACAAGAACACAGTAGATGTCTTCGCATTAACTTGACTATCTGGTTTTCCAGACTCCGACCTTTGGGGATAATGCAGTAGTAATGATTATCTCCGAAGTCGGCAATCTCTCCTCGACTTGGAACTTTTGACCTTCAAAACACCAGCTGCTTCTGGGAGTTTCCGGCCTCGTCCTTTGACAAGCTCCCATGCCGAAATGTCAGATCAATCCTCGGGCTTTCCATCTCTTTTTTTCCTCCTTTGTTGGTTTGCGTGATTACCACGCTCGCCGTCCTGGCTTGAAAGGCTAGGCACGCCTTTATTGAAGGATTTGAAAAGGTTTGATGGTCCCTGTAACTTCTTCTCTATTTCTCTTTTTTTTTTCTCCTCACGTTGCCTCTTGTGAAACAACTTGCCTTCCTTCTAGCATTGATGTCAAACACATTTCTATTCTTGATGAGAAAGGTGGTGTCATCTCCTGTGTGGTGCCGTGGGGCAAATTGCGTTGCAATCTGTAGCCGGCTTGCCAAATTCTTCTCTTCGTAGCAGCACGAGAACAACGTTTCTGGTGAACACTGCTTCAGAGTTCATTGGAGGTTCTATATACTAGCAGAGCTGATGCAAATATATGACGGTTTCATCTATGTTAATCGTCGTCAGATCTTGTTTTACACAAAATTGGCACAGACGATCCAAAAACATAGACTTTCTTAGGTACGGTAAATACCTACCTTCCTGTTGCCCCGGAACTTCACACATAACAACCCAAAAGACAGCCATAAGTCCTGCCAGAACGTGAAGCGTACCGAAAGACCATTTCTCTTCCTTGGGCTCGGTAAGCACAAGCTGCTGTAGGCGTTAGAATATACACTCCAAATCTTATTTCAATACTTCTATATCAATTACCATGCTAGAGATAACACGGGGAATCGATATGATGATTTCTGATTTGGGTGTCCTTCGAGTAATATATTATAATTATTATTGTGAACGATGAATGCAAGAACCAATTGGGGATCAATTCTTGTTGTGTGAAAGCTAAAATTACTTGAATGATTGAAGACCAGGACACATAGTTATTTGCAAATAGCTTTAGGTATACCTGTCATATCAGGGTGGGATGGCAGGACTTCCTACAAGAGGCTCAAGTACCTCTGTGAATGATTTCCGCTAGATATAAAGACCAAGTGATATATAAGACGACTAGTATTCCATCTTCACAATAAGAGAAATGCAGTTGAACAAAAAAAGGTCCAAAGTAAAGAGCCGAGAAATGTTATCTAGACTCTGTTAAACCTTGAGTGGGTTTTGCTCGTGGGAGCTCGGCGTCTGTGCCCGCTCTGCATTGTGTTGGCCTTCCACATCGGTCCCTGGTTTGGGCTGTTTCATGAAAGGTAGTATACTTTGCACAGTCCGCCAACGAGCGCCCGGAGATCTGGGGGCTTCAGAGCGACTTTGCTCCTCTACTGGTGTCGCTGGTTCTGTGTGGGGCTTCTCGTTGTTTTCTTGGTGATTCCCTCCCTTTGTCTCACCGCGGTGAAAGAGAGACTGACTCCTCTTTCGCATGGTCTCATACCAGCCCCAATGCCTGCTGTGTTCCATACCTCGTTGAATGAGGATCTTAAGCCAATTGGCGTTGTACGCAAGTGCAACGAAAAAAGCGGAGACAACCAAGGAGACCCCAACTGCATGGCAAAAGACAGTCCTAGTCAGTGACAAAAAAGTTAAACGCAGTGCATCGATTGGACTCACAGATAATCGGGAATATCCAGCGCCCTTGATATACTAGGTTGCCATTCTCATGTGGGAAGTCCGAGATATCCAATGCGAACAGACTGGTCAAGAAGGAGGCCGGGAGCTGCGAGTCTCAGCATCCAGGTGTTCCCCGGCGTCCCGGCGACAGTTGGACTGTGCACTTACACAGATGATCGTCACCACGGTGAAGCTCATGACAGTGTCACTCTGGCTTCGCGTGGCCTGGGCCTCAACGATGCCCGCCTTCTTCTGTTTCAAATCAAGCAATGTGTTGATGTCGGTCTGGATGCTTATGGCGTCTCGCACCATGCCTTGGATATCGTTACTGACTTCCGATAGAGTGAATTTCGATTTAGCCTGAGACCCAATTTTACCCAACTGACTCACGACGTTGTCTTGATCATGCGCCAGAGATTTGAGAATGTTCAGCTCGTCGAGAATGTCCTTGATCTCATGAAGGACGTTAGTTTCATCGTCGATCCTCTTGTATGGATTCTCGGATGTCGATTTGCTCTCCCAAAACTTCTGAGGTTCTGGGCCCCTTTGAGAGGATAATCCATTCTGCTGTGATGTTTGTCTTGCTTGCGACTCTCCCTTCCTTGCCTTGAGGTTGAGGGCATCCCGAAAGCCAGCGAACAGCTCGATCTCTTTATCGCGCTTTACATGAATACAAGTCAGCATCAGTGCTAGCTCGCGGGCCTTCCTGCATGCATACCATCTTTTGAATCGCCCTGCGGTACACATCCAGAGGTGCGATCTTTTCCTTAAGGGGAGGATCGATCAGAACGTCCCGGGCATCGAACATGTCCCGGGCGGTATCCAATATCCCTTGCACAATTCGGATCTGATATGCCGGCAAGCTTGAGCCTTGCTCTTTCTTTTCTTCGGGAACGTCGAAATCGGCCTGATTCAGCTTGTCGAGAACTCGTTCCAAGAAGGTTTTCTCGCCATCTTCGACTTCCTGTGTCACGCTGGTGATAATGGTGTCTAGAGATATATTGATAATTCCATGAGCTCGGCCCCCAGGGCGAGGGTAACATACTGATCTTACCGTCGTGCAGGATCCATAGCCATAGCTGGTTGACCTTGAGGATTTGAAAGCTTTCTGCTTCGTCTTTCTGTAACGCGTACGACCGGTCCTGATCATTCCGTTCCTGCTTATGTGGTATTTGTTTGTCCCGTCGCTCCTTCCATCTCCTGGAGAGTGGCTCAAAGAAATCCCGACAGTCTGTTGTCAAGGTCTCGCCGACCGGCTCGTGATTATGGTGTGGCCTTTGCTCCTCGTATGGTTGTGTGCTCTGTATGGCTCTCTTTTCCTTGTAAGTCTTAAATAATCGCGAAAGAGCCTGGTCGTGATCCCTTGTGTACGTATCTTTGATCGAGTCGTAGTAATACTGATCTAGGGTAAGAGCTTCGTGGACAATTTTCCGCGTGTCCTGCTTCGACTCCGGCCAGCTGACTTTTTCGTCAGGCTGCGGACTGGGTTGCGATATTGCCTTCGAAAGCCGCTCCGAGGTACTCTGCGATTTGGGGTCCTGCTGTTCGGTATGGGAGTCAAAGCCTGGCTCTGTATGGTCCTGGCCGTTGTGCTCGTTCTTCCCGTGATTCTGAGCTTTGGGAGGTCCAGCACCCCACGATATGTAGGGAAACTGTAGTTGACTGTTAGCGTCATCCACTTATCAACATACCAAACAGCTGAGAGGATTTACAGACATAGAGAGCAAACATCGACACGTCATCCTCCTTCACAAGTCCACACCGTGGTTTCATATAATGTTTCTCTCCTCCCGCGGGTATCTCCACCCAGCTCCTTTTCACTAGCTTCGCCAAGCGACGATGCGTGCTTTGACTATGCTCTTTCTCTCGAGATATTCTGACCATGAGATCCTGTTGCCAGTTAGCCCAGGGTTCTGCAAGATGAGGGGGCACTAATACCTTGACATATTGCAACTAGGTGCGAGAAAGTCAGTTCAGTTCACTTGTTGACTTCTCTGATATTGAATGGGACACGAATCTTGGAGATGTCTCACATTGTTTGTGGGAATATGAAACCATCGCATCTGCTTTTGTTTCATCGAGCTCGCATCTGAAGACTCGCCCTGTTTCCCGGTGGTATTTTTTGACTCTCTCGGTGGTGCCGACGGTTGTTCGGCTGCCGGCTTCTTTGATAGCGCCGTCTTCCTTTTGAAAAGCTCATCTTGCATAGCCTGAAGATCGCGATATCCTGTGTCCATCATGATGCTGTTGGGCCCTCGCCCGTACAGAATTTCCCTGATTTCCCCACGTTTGAGCTTGATCGCAGTTTGTGCTTTGGCCTTAATGGTCACGTCAAGCACTATAGCATAGGTTTTGTCGGTCTGAGGGACGGGTCTAGGGACGGGTCTCTCGTATTCAAATTCAGGCAAAAGCTTGCCATTGCTGGGTCTACGCAACGAAGGAGGGTTGGTCAGGAGATTCCTAATGACAGTAGCAGTAGGCCAATTCTCTCGGTCGTCGGCCGGGTCCCCTCCGTCTCCATAGTTTCTGAGCTCATTCCCTTTCCTGAACAGGATCTCACCAAAATACTCCCCGCTGGAGAGCAACCACCAAAGGGCGGTCGGGAATTGGTATTTGACGACAAAGTCCAGAGGCCCCATATCTTTCGCCCTTGCCTTTCCAGCCGAGTAAATATCTATGAAACCATTCAAATATTTCTCTTCTCCAGTTGTGTATCGCCAGGCTGCGGCTCCAACTACGCGTTCTGCAGTGTTGCGCCATTCATCTTTTCTGTGTGCGTCATCCCCATCCTGCCTGACGCCAGGTGAAGCAGAGGGCTTTTTGGCTTCGAATAACTCTCGCAATTTGTTCCAAAGCTGTTCCTCAATCTCAGGCTCGTTATTCACGACTGCGACCGCAATAGCACTTTCAGCATCCTTCCCTTCCCCCAAGATCACATCTAACACCCGTGAGGCATCTTTCTCGTCAATCTTTTCCAGGAGGATTCGGACCATTTTTTCATGCCCGTTTTCCACCGCAGCATGCAATGGTGTGAAGTCGCGGCTCGCCTTGTTCAAAAGATGAGCACTCCAATTATCTTTCATCCATTCAAGCCCATCCACATTCCCACTTAAAGCAATCACATGCAGCCATGTTGCACCACACCGGTCTTCTAATATTGGAGGGCTTCCCGGGTTCTGGCGCATGACAACTTCACACAGCACTTTTTGTACGTTTAGTAGCGCCCAGTAGAGAACCGGCACTTGATGGCCGAGCATCTCCTGCCGCCGAGAGTCATTCAATAGCCACTTCGCAATGGGCACCTGCTCGCTTTTGGGGGAACGATGCACTTCATCTTGCGCTGGGTCGAGCGGAAAGAAGAAACTGGACTCTAGTAGTTGGAAGATGATCGAGGGATCACTTTTCTGGAAAATTGCCCAGCCCAGGACCGTTTTTCCCGCATGATCGCCGATTCTCATGAGCGTGGCCAACTTGATCGGCGGAACTCCGAGAAGCAGTCGCACGGTGTCCCCGTCATTATTCTCACATGCCAGCTGGAGTGCGTTTAATCCTGCTCCCGTTTTTGCTGCAAGGTTTGCACCCGCGTCAAGCAGACTAGGGAGGACTGAGTTTGCCTGGAAGGTGGCGGCATTCAGTAATGCCGTATATTGCCATATATCTCGACTCTCGATGTTCGCTTTGAATTTGATCAGCCGTTCCACGATGGACTTCTGATTGTTCATAGCCGCGACTATGAGCGCGGTCTCGTCATTACTGTTTGGCTGGTTCACGAGCGCGGGGTGTTTCTTCACCAGTCCTTCAATGATTGCGAGGTACCCTCCTTTCGGAATGCTGGTAGAGTGGGTTGTGTCTCCACCCTTCGAAGCCAGATGCAGCGCGGTATTTCCATAATTTCACTAGCTGTCGGGTCAGCCTTGTGCTTCAATAGAATGTCGAACACCTTCTCATTCCCTGTCTGAGCTGCGGCGAGAAGCGGCGTCATGGTATGGTCGCCGTTCACCAAAGGAGATCCGGTTGCTCGTCTATTCCTGAAATGTTGGACAGTTCGAAGCTGGGTCTCAATAGTAACAGGCAGAAATGGAGTAGATTCATCATTGACCGTTGTGGCTTTTGTGTCTGCGCCATTGGCCTCCAGAAGCTTGGTGATCTCAGGTCGCTCAAAGGCGACGGCCAACATTGAGGGGGTTATTTCATCCATTGTAAGTCCCGTCACATCCTCGCTTGTGAAACTTATATCTGCGTTGATGATATCGAGGCTGTGCTCAAGGATTTCCTCGAGGTTCACTTGACTACCGCACAAAATTGCAGCTTTCAATGCCTTGAGCGTTTGGGGTTCTCCTTCATAATACTTGGCATTCATGACCGTGAGATTGACATCTGCTCCTCGATCGACCAGAATCTCAACGAGGCCACTTCTACTCAGCTCGATGGCCAGCAATAGCGGAGTCGTCCGCTCTTCTGAATTGTCGCTCTCTTTGCTTGCACCGTAGGTGAATGTCATGTTTGCAAGTTCATTGTGTTCAGCAACAAGGTTCTTCGCAGTCTGCGGTTCTCCGTCCTCGATCGCTTTGATAAGCTCTTGCAGTAGGTCTCGGGGCCGCTCTTGCTCTAGAGCTCTATATTCGGCTGGGCCATCGTTATTATCTCCAACATCTGCAACACTGTCCGTATGCACCAAATCATCATCTTTTCCAGGACTATCGTCGTCCGCTGGTTGATCGTCTTCCACTGGTGACCCGTCGCTCCCGGTGACACCGTCTGCCTCTGGAGCACGGTCTCCCTCTGGAATATCGCCATTTGATGGAGTGCCGTCGCCTTCTGGTATACTAGGCTCCCCTGGGGGACCATCACTCCCGGTGACACCATCTGCCTCGAGAGCACGGCCTTCCTCTGGAATGTGGCCATTTGATGGAGTGCCGTCGCCCTCTGGTACACTAGGCTCCCCTGGGGGACCATCACTCCCGGTGAGACTAATGTTGGTCGGTAGATCTTTGTATTCAACATTAATAAGATAGGCGACGAGATCAGTCATCGAATAGATCTCAACATACCATCATTGCGACTGCCCATGATTGAATTTCCCTGTCGAAGATAGGATGGATCGTGAAGAGATGGTCGGCGATACTAGAAAGAAACGGGCTCCGAGGGTCATAAAAGATGTCGGTTCCACAATGAACAATTGAATTGATTTGAATGCAAGTTCTTCTCTCGAGCCTCTTGTCCCGTCACTGGTCGCAAGAAAGGAAGAAGAGGAAGAAGAACAAGAAGAAGAAGAAGAAGAAGAAGAAGAAGAAGAAGAAGTCACCGCAGTGGCAGGGCTAAGAGAGCTGGGGACCAGAGCAAAAAGCCGTTTTCAACTTCTTGGTCGACTGCCCAAAAACAAGAGAGGAAATAAAAGCAATGAGGGACAAAGCTCAGAGCACAAGAGCGCACCTTCAATCGAATTGCCTTACCGATAAGGCTCGCCACCCGAGTCGACAAAGATAGAACAAACAATCAAGCAATCAAGCATGACTCGCGAAAGCAGCCGGCAATCGCGACTAGTCGAATGGGTACCGTGGTCGCTCGCGAACCATCGCAGTTGAATTACATTCGCGCAGATCAACCGATAATATGTGGAGATCTGCGTCTCTGGGTGAAGTTGGTTCGGGTAGTGGGGTGAAAACAGAAGACAGAAAATTGACGGACCCAGGTGTCGCAGGGAATTCGTAGCGATAGGTTTCTCCAAGGCTGGGTGCGTAGATGAGATGCAGGGTTAGCGAGTTGGTTTAGTCCTAAGTGGTAAGTAGATACCTTAGTCTGACCACAGGCGACGAACCGCGTCATCAAGAACGCAAGAACAACAACCAAAAGAAGCAATTATGAAAGAGAAGTGGGCCGGGAGCTGAACTCGCCTCACGCAACAACTGCCCGTGCGACTCCCACCTCCACCTACTCCCCCGCTCTTGCCTTTCAGAAACACTTGAAGCTGGTGAGGGGCAGACGATAAAATGGGGGTGACAATGGTAAATAGCAATGAGATGCAAATGCATCTGAGACTAAGAGGATGCCTGCCATTCCTGTTTAGGCAGGCGGTTCTCCGGCCCGCGGCAGTGCCCGTGCTGCACGGGCCGTGAGCTTCGCGGTCTGAGCGAGAGGCTGGCCTGCACTAGTAGTTATCAATCAGTACAATTACTGGATTCGAGGGGAGCATGATAGTAAAGCCAAGGGATGGTCTCTCAAATGCATCTCTGCTAAGCAACAGATCCACAGACAGCTGCAGCTTGCGTGACTCCCTACGCGAATTACAACACCAAAACAGAAGATGGGTCGAGTCATCCATGCCTTAGCCAGATCCAGTAGTTGTAATCATGGCCACCTGCATTGAGTATCTGAACCAGAAATAAAGGGTCATCTTGAAGGATATAAGACGAAGGAAGCACGGAAGCAGGGGAAAACAACTTGATCTTGTCTCCAGGTGAACGAATTCTTGTCTTCTGTTTCCAATTTCTATCTAGAGATCTTACTATCGGCGTGCCTCGGCGATCCGACCATGTTGTCCGGCGGCTCAGGAAGCGAGTTCACACGCAGATAGCTCGCACTCATTCTCCCGCGTCATGGCATTTCCGTGCCTCACGTGCCAGCTGCAAGCCGACTGTGGTTTGAAGGAAGCGTCGAGGAGATGAGCGGTGGTCCAGATCACAGAATACTCGTCGCTGCGGCACCCCACCGCAGGTGGTGGGGTGCCGCAGCGACGACTACCCAACTCCCCGTGTAGACTAGTCTTCAACGGCATCCAGAACTTATAGAGTGAATCGGGGACCTCGCTTAATTCACAAACCTTGCATATGTCCTAGCGCCCCTACCGTTTCACCGCATGGTGGCTGACGTGATACCACCCATGCAGCACGGGGTCTCGTATCTGCAATACCAGGAGATTGGTAGTCACTGTGGTTGCAAGAGTGAACTACCCCAAGTCTATACAAGAATGCTCTCCATACAAAAGAGTGGGATGCATATAACTGCTCCTCATAGCGATTCGGCGCATTCATATTCAGGACAAGATTAGCCTGTAACAGACAAAAATTCCGACACCAGACTTAGAATCGCTCCGAGGAAAACAGTGAAGGAACTGAGCTCGCCAAGGAGCTAGTGGCACTTTAGCGCCAGCACTGCCACTCATTCGAGTGTTGCTCCAGCCTCTCAGAGGCCGCGAAATGCGTGGGGCTCGCATCCCTCCTCCCTTTTGTTCGACTGGAATAATAGCGTTGGGCAGGACACGGGCTCAACACCCCGCAGCGATTTGGCCAGTGGTGTTGAAGAACAGTTGGAGACCCTGAATAAATGGTGGGGGTCCGTTCTTGCACGGTTCGGCAGGGCCGAAGGAGGCTCACACATGGGGATAAGGGTTCGGTTGGGCAGAGGGATTATGTGGGCCCCTTCAGCCCCAAAAAGAAATCGAAGTAGAGCTGAGGACCTAGTTACAACAATTTTGCACCGGACTGAAGGACTTCCCGTCGCAACGATCGAAGCCAGTGAAAGTGTGAAGACATATCCTCGTGAAAAGACAAGTCGCCGGCATCATCGAGCATCCCCACCGCAGCTGCCGCCCGGAAGTAGAACCATGCCCGCAGATGCGGATCACTGGCAGCGGCGGCGCCAGTTATACAAGCCCATGTAAGAACCGCGGGGAAATGTCGCATCCATACATCGTCTTCGGTTAGGGCTAGCACATCACGGAGATCGCTGGCTAAGGCGTCTAGGTAGTCGGCAAAATTGCTCGTATTCGCCCCGCCGCTTATAATAGCGTGGAAAATCCGGAACGCTAAGGAGCAACAGTGGCACACGGGGTCATCGTTGGTAGGAAGCGACATCACGTTGCCTTGTGTCGCGTTGCAACCCCAACCAGCCGTCGATTGATGGACCACGAGCTGAAGTTTGAGCTTTTGGATGTACTGGAACAAGGCTTGGATGGAGCGACCGGGAAATTCCGGTGCAGATCGGCTGATAAGTGTGCTAAGAACTCGTTCCTCGAGGCCAGGTGGCGGCATGGGCGGGCAGTGCGGTAGAGGTCTTGAGTCCATGTCAAAGACTATATCTGAAATAACATCATTCCTGTAGTCCGGTCAGGAATCCATCTTGTCCATGGCAGAAGGGCCGACGAACACGTAGATGAGAGATGCTGTTAGTCCTTCCAGGCCTAGTTTGTCCAGACCACCCCTTAGCTGGACGATCTTCGCTAGACCAGCTCGATGCACCTCAGCGGAGGCTCGATCTCCGGTGAGAACCTAGTGTATTATTAGTTTTACCACCTGTGGATGGCGAAGTCACTTATCTTGCATACAGCGAAGAGTGCCAGCGGTGTGATTGCAGCTATCGTGCGGTCATCTAGCGCTGTTTTCGGGTCGGATAGACGCTTTTTGACCGATTTGATCAGTTCATTGTAATGGTACAGGGTAATTGTACTCTGCTGAATTCCACGGCGGAGATCAAAATTGGAGGAGCCGGTAAAGAGAGTTGCGTGGAACAAGCAAGGGTCGCTCATTGCACCTCTCATCCAGGTAGTCTGCAATTTATAAGAGCTAGATCTATCGTTAATTGGCACGCGTGTGGCATTGTGACACTCGACGACTGGGGCCCAGGGGCTGTCAGCGCAAGCCAGAAGAGATCGAGAGGGATGTTTTACAGTGCTTGATTAGGCGTGGCATATACCAGCGAGAGGCGATGGGATAGGAATCTGAGACAGCTGGAGCCTGGATAGCCCACGAGATATAAACTTGACTCTCCACGGCGTCCCAGGAGCTAGGTGTGAGCTTTTTGGAACTGCGCGTGTGGTGACTCTCAGTCACCAGCGCCTTTGAGCTCTGGTTTGGGATACTTTCTGCGACGCGGTAAAGGGCATAGGAACACACTCGCTCAGCTCTAGAGAGAATCGATTAAAATGCGCACCTAGGGGGACATAAGGCTGAAGACAAACTTTTGGCACAAGGAGCAAGAGGGGTAGGCTCTGTCGCATTTTCTTTTTCGCAAGCGACAAGACTCGCAGGCAACAAGCATAACCTTCATCTTGAAGAAGTTGAGAGAAGCGGCGTGGTAGAAATGAGGCTGAGAGTGTGACCGCCGCGGCGAGCCTGGAGAAGATAAGATCAACCTGGGTCCATAATGAGTCTAGCCGTTTTGGGTCGTCAGGCAGCCTTTTCCTTTTTGAGACAACATACAAAGCCACACTTCCTTCATGGCTGGCCTCAAACTACCCGAGCACAAACACAAGCGACGATGACAACAATGAGAAGTTATCAGTCCAATTTATGCCACCAATTTGATCCTTTTCCTCTCTAGACAAATCGATAGAAGACTATCGCTGGACGCTGAGGCATAGATGCCATGCTTTTGCCGGATGAGTTACCCGCATTTCTCCCGTCTTGGTGTTGTGAATAATGTATAGAAAGTGAGAAAGCTCGTCAATTGGGCGATGTTCTTGACTTCCTATCCTTTTTGTAGGCAAAATGCCTCCCCGTAGAATCAAGAACCTCACAAATAGTGCACATTTCCCGGTCTGTCATCTACGCGAAAGCGAAGCAAAGACACCAAGTTGAAAAATGGCGTGGTAGTCGATTTATGTAAGGAATATGGAGGTGGGCCCGTAAACGGTAGACTGTAGAGACCAGGAACGTAGTAAGTGGTGATGACACGGTCGCATTGTGAGGAATTGCAAAGTGGTAACCTTTGGAATGCATTGAGCCAACTTGTAGACCATATATATGTAGAGTCCCGGGGAGGATTCATGTGGGGTTCAGGTAAGCGCCGAGATGTGATTGGATGTCTGCAGAGTATTCAATGGTGATAGTGTATCCAGCCGTACTATTGCATCTTGTGTGCATTGTAAGTTGAGAAGATATTAAATGAACTGCAGTCGATTTGGACAATCACGGGGTGTCTAGTATACCCTGTGACATGTAGATTGATCCTCTGGGTCGATAGCCAAGAAGGCAAACTGCGTTGTGAAAAATGACCTTCCATCCATGAGTTATATATGCATCCCTACCGTGGGAACTTTTTATTTACCGAAGGAAACCGGTCGCGGGCTAAAGATCGGTAAGAACCCTCGGCTTGTTTGAATGCTTGTTGATCCCCTCGTACGAGTAGAACATGGCACCAAGGGGAGTAGCGGATGACTAACGGGTGGACTAGCCCGCCCCTAACATCTAACATCCAAGATACCGAGAGAATCGATCTTGCCTACAAGCCAAAACAATACTTCACCGATTTCGCCGTGAATATTCTGAAGAGAAGCCTGAGGCTGGCGGAAACACGGTCTTCTAAGTGATCGTGAATCTAAAGACATCTGATTTAGTGGCGCTATTGACTGCAAGAATACGGTAGCAGCTGGAGGCCTGAGGATCCCCAGTCCTGACTATTTTGGCATCAATTTCTTACGTTGTTTTGTCTGCTAGTGACTCAGTCACAGTCAAGCTAGGAGTTATCGCTGTCTAGAGCCGCCCCCTGTCGCCCACTAGCATAAGTACTCAGGTACAGGGGGGGTTTCTATTCCAGAAGTAGCCGTGGGAAGCTTGAGGGACGTCAATCTAGAACAGGAAATCCGCACTCGTATAAATTAGCGGGAAAGCGGATCGTTGATTATGTAAGATTTGTGGATCCAAAATTACCGGTAGGTCGGTTGTGCCCAGTCCGTCTGTAAGATATCAACTTTGACTCCATACATCAATGGCCAAAACTTATATTATGCAATACTGTGGAATTTAGTAGTTGAATAGAGCTCCCCTGGTAAACCTTGTATAATACAAGGATCCAATTGGCAAAAAGTCGCGGCTATGTGTTAAACATTGGTATCAATGTGACAAAGGTTTACTAAGAACGAATCGAGATGATGCCGGTGTAACATCCTCAAGTTTAGAGCTTTTGACGCTCTTTTCGGTCAATCAACACTTTGACGACCGAGAGGAGAATCAAGAGATTGGTCCAGAGCCTCTCTATTCATCACCGCCACAGCAGCACTCAAAGCAAAGCAGGCCACAGCATCTATAATTTTCCAACATTGTTAGTCGAGTCCAAAAAGGCAGAGATGGATAACATACACGCCACAGCAGACATTCCCGGCTTCACCACCGCCACGTAAGTTAAGTTCTGTTGCTTCATGCGTCGTCGCCTTGAGCATGGTTAGTCCGCCACATAACCACTTTTACGAATAATCGAAAAGAGAGAGCTGTTCATACCGGCATATTAGCATCGAGAGCTTGGGGAGGAGCCGGAGAAAGTGGTTGTTGCATCGTCACAGTCTGGGGGTCCCAAGTGTGCTCGGGAGCTTCATTCGTAGAGGGCCTACTGAAGGGCGTCAAAAGCCAACTCAAAAACTGCATGCTGCGTGGTTTTAAAGGAAGAGGACAGGAGGAATCGATAAGACGGCACAGTCTGTAGTGGCTACTCGATCGGTGGCGACGGCCTTTTATAAGTCTCCCGGTCAGAATCTCCAGTCAGATCCCAGCAGTCGTTAGCGTAGGCTTTTTCTCAGGGGACTTCAAACGCGGGGTTGGTAGGTTGTATTGCTAGAACAGACCCCACCCAAGGCTGCAGATCATTGGCTTCATTGGAATTTTGCACAGGAAAGGAAGCTGTGTGGCTCATTTCAGTTCGACAAGACAGGGCTGGTGAGGCGCCAAGGGAAATAAGAGGTGCAATGTCCTCAAGACCTCCCAACGGTAAATTACACCGGTAGTGTGTAGAGTATCCGGACAAGAAACACAAGGTCATGTGTCTACCAGAGTGGGAAAGACCAGGGGAAGAGGCCAAACCACTGAAAGCTGCCATCAGGCGAAGAAAACATAAATATCCCTTGTTTTGACACTCTCTGCGTGGGAATCTAGTACTAATTTGATGGCTGTTTGGCGCGGAAACAATTGCCCAAGTGCAGGAACTAGCATTCTCATGCTTCAAGAAGAATTCCATGATGCAGCCTCCGCTATGTTCTTTGAAAGGTGGCTTCCTGGTGTTTTGTCACAGAAGCTGATGCTTTATTGTGTGGTCCAACATGAAGACTTTGAATTCAGGCAATGATTAGTCATAGTCGTCATTTTGAGAGACATACAGGAGCCAAATATGGGAATGTCTGTGGAAGGCGCCGCCTTCTCGAACGTTTCCCTTTTTACATGATTGAAGCCTCAGGACGGACTAAAAGTGGATCAAAAATATGAGCGGTACTAAGGTAGTGGAGCAAGCGCAGGTTGCGCAAATGAAACCAGGGAATTGACCCTTAGGGCCGCGACCCTGAAACCAAGGCGGTTTTTAACTTTTTCTAGACTTTCTGCATCGTGGCTGCTGCTGCATGCCGTAACGCTTAGATGTCGATATGTCTGTCGCATGTGATAGATTTGTGCCCCTGTTTTTCCTGGCACAGCATAAGGCCGAGCCACAGACTCAACAATCACACCCTTTCTGCTTTTCCCCTCAGCCACCATTGTTAGCGATATGGGCATGCCCCCCTCAATTACACCCTATACGCAAAAGCTTGCGCGGAAAACCCATCGAAAGTCTCGCTATGGGTGCCGCAACTGTAAGCGGCGAAGGATCAAGGTTGGTGGCTGTCTCAAACTGCATCATCTGCCTCAGGCAGTCAGTCACTAATCGACCTTCACACAGTGCGACGAGATCAAACCGCATTGTACCAATTGCATACGTCACGCAATCGATTGTGATTACAGCTCACAACCCAGAGCTGCCAGCAGCTCGCCGACTGAAATTAGTTCCTCAAACTCGACTTCTTCGGACAAAACCGATGGCGACTACACCTACATCTCATCCACCCCGACGAACTTCAAGCCGCCCACGCGAGCACATGGCCCTTCACGCACCTCGGCATCTCCGCCCTACCATTCTGCTCCCCCCTCGCATGAACTTGCGAAGAGGCCATTCGAATTCACAGCTACCGACATGGCGCTCTTTCATCATTTCCTGACTTCCAACGAGCTAACCGCCGTCCAACCCCGCGCCCAGCAGCAACTCTGCCGGCTAGGTTTCTCTCATCACTATGTTCTGCGCCTACTGCTAGCCTTCGCCGGATTCCATCTGGTGCGGAAATCAGAGGGCAATCCAATGGTCCAGTACATGGGCACGGCGACAGACTACTTTGCTGAGGCCGACCGTCACCTGGAGACGGCGGTGCAGGAGGTCACGGCGCTGGTCCCGCAAATCAATCCCGAGAATGCGCCTGCGATGTACACGTCCGCCATCTTCATCTTTATCTCCTCCTTGGCCAAGGGCCCGCAGCCGGGCGAGTATCTGGCCTTCCGGGATGATGGCGGGTCTGGGTACTTGGGGCTATTTCTAGGGGTCCGTTCAATTCTAGAGCTTTGCCAAAATGACATCCCGACCGAAGTTTTCGCCATTTCCGGGGACGAAAGTCCTGATTCGGATACATCCGAAGGTGGCGACCCGGCCAGCCGGGACCCTGCTATTGGTGCAGAGTCCCACAATTACGAATACCATCTCAACTCGCTGCGCCAGCTTCTAGCTATTTATATGCCTGACTCGGACCCTCGCTCTACCAGCTATCAACGGATGTTGAATCACCTCCACTACTGTCTCGCTGCTGTTCTGGGTCCCGGTCCCCGTTCGCCCGGGATGTCTCTGTTCCCGCACATTTTCGCATGGCTGTACCAATTACCAGATGATCTGGTACACGATCTGCGGGAGCAAGAGCCGATCGCTCTCATCCTCTTCTCGTTCTTTTGTGTTCTTCTACACCGGCTGGATGCTGTCTGGTTTATTCACAACTGGCCGCAACATATTGTGACGGGTATTTACCGGAAGCTCGATGCTGCATTCCGACCGTTCATGCAATGGCCACTCGATCAGGTTGGGCTGAGCGAGCCGGAAAAAGCTTTGAGTGCAACAACCGACCTTGCTCCCTACTATAGTACGTCGGTCGGTATTGGTGAATCTTAATCATGTGGTCCGTTAGCATAGCGATATAGAATTGCATTCTCTGTCCTAATAATACATGCTCAAGACCAAAAAAGACCCCCTTCCTCCCAGCGCACAAGGCTGAAACTTTGCACTCCAATCAAGTACACAATACGGTAAGCACCATCGGCCTCAGTCTAGACACAGCGGAAACTCTCCGCAGAAGAAGCATCGCCTCCCATATACTTTGCCTGAGCAGGATAAGGACACAGGTTGCGCGACTGCTTGGCCCCATCGGATCCTGCGTACTCCACAGGCAGAGTCGCAGGGGCTGTCCCGTTCTCCACCCACAGTCTTAGGGCATCGAACGTAACTTAGTGGTGGGCTGCCCGCCCACACCGCCCGAGCAATGCCCCAACCCGGGCGCCTCGAAGAAGCGATAGAATTCCTGGACGTAGGGGAATAGATCCGTCACCGCGTTGTAGTAGAACTCGGTGTCCTTGGTCGGGATACTGGGGTCGGCCTGTGTTTGAGGTCATTGTCAGATCTTGTTTGTCTTCAAATAGTGACGACATCAGACAGGAAGAGGGAGAAACAAACCATGCCATGATACGTGATAAGCTTCCCGCCCGCGTTGCGGAACTCGCTCAGGTCGGGGTCAGCGGCGTTCATGAAATCGGTATACTCCTGGCTGGCGAGGTGGAAGGCCCGCTCGTACTCCGCGCGAGTCATCTTGCTCGTCTCGAAGCTGGCGTTCTTGGTAACAAACAGATTGAACCAGACATCCGCCTGGGTGCTGTTCTGGCCGGGCACGGAGCCATAGCTGCTGATGTCGGAGCCGGGATTCACCCCGTACCAGAGGAACTTGCCGTCCTGCGTCCGCGGGCCGGACCAGGCGGCGTCGGCGATGATCGCGGCACCTTCGCTAAGCGCAATTGTTCGATTGAGGGTGGAGCAGTGAAATGTCTGGTTGACGGAGGTATACGGGCTATAATCGCACGCCGTCATGTTGGAGATAATCCCGTCTACAACCCCATCCTTGGGATCGCAGTGGGCGATAGCCTCCGCCGTCAGGAAATTCAACTCGCACGCCAACGGATGAACCCCACGCCACTCCCTCATCAATAGCGGGTAGTACACCGCGGAGACAAACTTGGTCCAGGACTGCGCGGGCGCGGACGCCGCGATGCCGTCGTACGCTGTCGGGTACCGCTGCGCCAGCATCAGTCCCTGTCGCCCGCCCTGGGAGCAGCCACTCCAGTAGGAATAGTCCGGTTCGCGTCCATAGAAGCTGCGGATCAGGCTCTTGCCGATCACCGCTTGGTCGTTCAACGAGCGGGAACCCAGATTATGCAGCGCCGCGTAGTCGACGTTGCCGGGGCTTTTAAGTGCCCATGTAGTTGGGAAGACCGCCTCGCCCAGCCCCGCGTCGGTAGTCGTCGCAGCGTATCCTTCGCCGATTGCCCCGCCCATGAAGAACTGGGATAGCACGAAGCGACCGGCCTGCCAGCCTCCGCCGCCGGTGGCTTGCAGACGGCCGTTCCAGCCGTGGCGCGGGAGCCAGGTCTCCACGGTGATGCGGTCGTCGTACCCCGGGTGCGTGTATGTGACGGTGATGTTGCAGAACTCTGCATTGCGCAATTCGACGTCACCGTGGTTGTAGTTGAATGTGGCCGGGACGGTGCGCGTGTAGTTGGTGACCCAGGCGGCTGACAGGTTGAGGATTTCTGCGCCGTAGACGGCTGGGGGTTGAATCGCCGAGGGCGAACAAGTGAGATTCATCTCTGAATGTGGAATTTTAAAATTGTAAAATCCAGGGCAGTGGGATCACTGAAATCTCTGTGAAGATACAACCCGGAGGCTTTGAACGGTGAAGCTTATGTGATTTTTACTGAACTCATTGCCGGGAACGTCTACTTCTTTTTATCGAGAAATGCACGCATGACCGTCATGAATCTGTTCTCTCATCTCAGGGAACCCTTCCCTTGCATAGGATACGAATGCGAACTACTTACCATTGCACTGGATCGGCAGTGGCGGATCATTGCTACCCGTGACGACTTTCGGCTATGCCCGACTTAGACCTGAGGCCTCGACTTGGCTTCCTGATTTGGCGGGCGGGTTTTCCATAAAGGGCTATTCGTGTTCGCGATAAATCCATACCCGTTGCCAAGCATCCATGATCATGCCCGTCTCCACTCAAAGAACTGAACCCACGGGTCCCCAGGAGCCAATAATCTCCCACCGAATCGGCTGGAAGGCCAATATTTGGACTTTACTCGGCGAAAATGTGGATCCATGAAATTTGACGCTGTGGATATGAGTTATTGTATAGACGACACTTGCCTCTGATCTGTGTGGATCTCAGTGCTCACAGCTGAAAAGTCAAGTATCCTTACCACCAGGGTCATGTAACGCAACTTAATGAAGGCTCCTCGTTTTAGGATATGAGGAAAAGAGTGTGGATGAGAATTCCCCTCGATATGAGGAGGTTGCCCGGTGAGATCTCGTAAAATTCTCTTTCCCCTGCGACAGACTCCCACAGATTTATGCTCATACTATATATATGTAAGCCATGCCATTAGCGTTCTCTCGACACTTAACAGGCAACTGCCCTTGAGATCATTGCTATTTGTCCTTGAGCCCGGCAAAAACTACTTGAAATTATACAAGAATATGGGTCAACTTGGGAGATTTGCATGGGTCCTGGGGTCGAGTCTCCTAAGCGTTGGCTCTCTGATATGCCTTATCATTGTTGCAATTGGTTGCACAAATCCCAAGCAGGCTAAAGATCTCTATATGTTTCGAGTAGGTCGATTTTGTCTCGCAGGGCATGAGAGAAACCAATTGACGAGGTTTATAGATCGAACTCAAAAACCTTACAACCTCTCCAAGCTCCATCCTTGATACCACCCTTCAGGATCTCACTGGCAGCCATGTGAAGCAATTTGTGCAAGCCTTGCAGGAGGCGAATAAATCAGAAACCTTGCAAGATTTCTACTCCATCGGACTGTGGAACTACTGTGCTGGCAACAATCCTCATATTGGAGTCTACAACACAACCTACTGCTCGAAGCCCCGCGGTGGATTTTGGTTTGACCCGATCGAAATCTGGGATTTGAATCAAACCCACATAGGGAAGCATGTCCCTAATCGCTTGCAACAGACGCTGGATATCTATCAGAGAGCTTCCCTATGGATGCAGATCCTTTACCTACTTGCCATCTGCACCAGCATTCTCCAGCTGTTGGTTGGCCTTCTGGCCTGCTGCAGTCGGCTGGGAGGCTGCTTCGCCTGGCTTCTCACGGCAGTCTCCCTCCTGTTTACTCTCGCCACATCCATCACTTCCACGACGCTCTTCGCCACCCTTGCGGGCATATTCAAAGTGACCTTCAAGTCCTACGGAATCTACGGTCACATGGGTCGACACATCTACGCAGCCACCTGGCTGGCGGTCGCGTTGTCCCTCTTAGCGGCGGTGTCATGGCTCCTCAATGGCTGCTGTTTTCGGGGCGACAAAGCGCGGCGTGACCCGCCGCGAACCATGGGTCCTGTCGGTGCGGCGGACAGCGCTTACAGCTATAGACCGGTTGCCGTTGGGAAACGTTCGGACGTATCCGACCACGCACCTTTACTCATGTGCCCTTCTCCTCCGCGGGTTCACGGCGGGCAGGATTATCGCCCGTATCAGCAGCAGCGGCAGCAGTACCACAACCCTTACCAGAACATATATCTCGAAGCCCACGAGATGCGCTGACACTACTGCTTCAAAATCCCGCGTCGGTGCAGCACTGCGAGCACGAATCTGCTCATGATCTATATCAAGCTCCTGTGCGTTGATTGTATTGCGTATCCAATCACCCCGAAACAAATGGATCTCTGAATGGAAGCCAACTGTCATACCATAGCCCCTTCAAGGGCTGAAGAGCTTCAGGCCGACCGCTCGATGGAATGCCCAGTCTGGACCTGGGATAGGTAATTCGGGGCAATAATAGAGACAAATTATTCGAAATCGCATGTAATAGCAAGACTGAGCAACATCCAGGTGGTCATGAAGATTATGAACGACTCGACCATGATGCGTTTCTTGGGGATGTCATACATGAACGGAAGGGAAACCACCCCCTCTATTATAGCACGATGCGGTCAGGGTAGTTTCACTTACTGTTTAGCAAGCATGTGACTTTTCACATTGTAAGAAGATTTAATTCAACTCAGTCTAGAAGGGTAGTGATACAGTCCAGGGATATAGATGAGGAACAGCAACTCTTTCCATGTGGAAAATGGCTATGTCAATTCGGCTTATTCACACTATTCGGCCCCAATTCCTTGACTTAGAAGGTGCACTGTCGAATGACAATCAACACATCGCACGCTAAGACTAAATGAAGAGTCATCTAAAGGGTCTCGAACAGCAACGAGGTATTTGCCTCTCACACAGCACAATATGTGTAAGATAGTCCTACCAGGAACACCTCGGATATGCCGGCCAAGGGCGGGGATCAGCCTCGGCTAATCCTGCTGACAGCCAAGCCTCAACCCCACACCTGTGCTTACCCTGTCAGCCTCTGCACCTCAATCCTGTTCTGTCCCTTTCTCCAAAGCTTTGATTGACTGTGACGCTAGTATTACCCCCAGTACCCCAGTTAGAAACATTGGCACCAAGTCCGACCCTGATTTATCATACGGCTGCCGGGCTCTCTGAGAAGAACATGCCACTGTCACCCGAGATCCAGGACTTCATCCATGGGTTCAAAAATCGCTGGGACCCGTCTGTGAATGTAGCGTGCGAGCGCTTCTTCGAAACATGCCATGCATCCTTTCCTCCTTCGGATGCGACGCCATCGATTGCATGTGAGAAAGATGTCAAGTACGGGCCGGATCCGCGACACCGGTTGGATGTATGTGCAAGGCTATTCGAAACGTCCAGTGAACGACTGTAGATCTCGACCAGTCGCAAGATTCGTGGCTGACGGGTTTATGATAGATCTTCTGGCCCACCAATGCATCCACGACAAACGCGACCCTCCCCGTTGTCGTCTACTTCCACGGCGGTGCGTTCAAAGCGGGCGATAACACTATCACGCCGCACCTGCATGCCAACATTGGTAAGCTCCCAACCCTGTCGCGCGGCCTTCGTTGCGCTCATTACTTTAACGCATAGTCCAGCTGTTGAATAAGATCTGATGATTAATTCCCAGGAAAATTCTTCGCCGACAACGGCATGATCGGAGTCCTTGGAACATATCGCCTCCTACCGGACGCTCGGTTTCCAGACGGCCGGGACGACGTTGCCGCTGCCCTAACATGGCTGCATGACCATATTCACCAATACGGAGGCGACCGCAACTCCATTTTCGCGCTCGGGCAAAGTGCCGGCGGTGGCCATCTGGCCATGGCTCTATACGCGGGGAGGCTCATTTCCGACGAAGGCCGGAGCCTGGTGCGTGGGGTTTTGCTCCTAAGCGCCGCGTTGGAGTATGATCTGGGGAAGGAGGAGCGGCGCAGAAGCATGGAGGCGTACTATGGAACGAATGACCATGAGTTTATCCACGCTCATTCGGCTCTCGGTATTTTTGAGAGGCTGTCTGACGAGGGAAATGCGGCTGGGAGGACAACTCCCGAGCTCTTTATTATGCTGGCGGAGTGGGATTTCGAGGAGTGTGTCCGAGGTAATTTGGATTTCCTGCAGGCTTACAATAAGCAGCAGCGCCGTCTTCCGCGGTTCGAGGTACTGTTAGGACACAACCATGTCAGCTACTGTTTATCTATTGGGCTACCGGGTGATGAGGTTGGTCCGAAGATCGTGGAGTGGGCGAGGCAGTGTTTGAAGAAGTGAGTGAGGTCTCCATTTTATTACGCTCATGGAGTTCTACTCTGTGCACAATCTAAATGTGTCGGCACCATTGAGTACAAAGTATAGGGATCTTTCCTACAACTTGCAAACCCTACAAAAACACGTGTTCCATCTTGTGACCAACCTTCTCAGAGCTCAATCTAGGCTTGGAGGGTGACAGGTCACAGTAAGAAGGTTCCTGATGCAGCAGATTCCAAGCAGAAGAGAACTATAGATGATAAGATAGAGGGACTATAGGTCACTACACCATGCGCAGTACAGCTTTGGCTCCATTGAGGCTGTACATGCGTGTCCACGTCAGCACTAATTCTGTGCGCGTAAGCACTAAGACCATTCTGATAAGCACCATGGCGAGGCTGCTAAGCACTAACCAATCCACAGATTGCCTGCGCCCCGCCTTGGCAGGCCTGTCACTCTCACCGCCAAGGACGCGGGATCGACATCATCGTAGAATAACTCCCCTTGGCTTCTCTCGATAATCTCTCACTCGCACTCATACCTCTGCAGCCGTGACGCTGTCATCCCTCACGCAAATGGCAACTCTAGAAGAAAGACACCCCGAGCTCTTCAGACCAGTGAGCAACGAGTCGCCCCGAGGCAAGAAGCGAACCGTCCCTCTGGAATGTCTCTGTCTGGGCTTCAACCGGACGGGCACAGCGTGTAAGCACGCGTGCATTATTACCTAGACACAACAACGTGCTGATAGACCGTCTCAGCCATGTGCAGTGCCCTCGAGACCCTAGGCCTCCCCTGCTGGCACTCCACACAATTTTTGTCGACGCGGTTCGGCGACATCGAAATGTGGCAGGAGGCCGTGGACCGGAAGTTCTTCGGGGCAGGACCCAAGTTTGGGCGTGCGGAGTTCGACCAGCTACTGCACGACTACGGGGCGGTCTCGTCCGACACCCCGGCGATCGCCTTTGCAGAGGACCTGGTGGAGGCGTATCCAGAGGCAAAGGTCGTGCTCGTGGAGCGGGACATCGACTCCTGGTACCAGAGCTGGATGGACACGGTGATCAAGAACACGTATTCCCCGGTCGTCACACTCGTGTGTCATATTGATCGCTTCTTCACACGTCCGATCGGCAATATCCACAAGACCACCTTCAAGGGGTGGGCGGGCATCTCGGGCCCAGAAGACGCGCCCCTCAAGAGCAAGGCCAAGTACCGCGAGCACTACGCGCTCGTGCGGCGGGTGACGTCCAAGGATCGCCTGCTGGAGTTCAAGCTGTCTGATGGCTGGGAGCCATTATGTGAATTTCTGGGGAAGCCCGTGCCGGACAAGCCCTTCCCGCACATCAATGAGAAGAAGTGGCTCGATGAGAAGGTTCAGCTTGTGCTAATGAGGGGGATGAACCTTCTGGCGTGGAAAGTTTTGATTTACTTCCTGGCTCCTATTTTGGCTGCTGGATTACTCTACTATGGGCTTATGTGACCTACTGTGCGAAGCTCTCCAGTCTGTCTCGTACTGAGGATATAAACCGCAGTCTACAAAGCCTCAATGCTCGACTAAATATGATCCTATAGCTGGAAGAAATACATACAATCGATCGAACAAAAAGACTCTTTGCTGTAGTTGATATCTACCAAGTGTCCCGCAGGTAAGTTTTGAATACTATGCTCGATGACGCGTGCTAAAATTGAGAGAACAATACCCAACTCTCTAGTCCCATTCACTTTCCGCCTGAGCTTTTCGCTTGTTCAAAAAGGGATTTGAACTCATCCCTCTCACGCTCAATATCTCGCATTAATTCTCCGGATGGGTCTAGACACGGGGTTCTGTACTGACCTACCGCACGAGCATGGCGAGACTTGAGTCTTTGAATTAGATTCTGATATCTCGTCATTGAGAGACTATTGGATCTTATAGACAATCTTCCTTCGGTCGTTGGACTGACTGGGCACAAGAGCACAGACAGGAGACCGGAATCCAGGTACCGCAAAGCAGAACATGAGGGACGCATTGCTATGACAGCCAGGGACTTGCCTTTAAAACCTTTCTGATCAGAACCCATGGCCCTGCCGCCTGCGAGGGCGCAAACGGAACAACAAGATCGCCGATCAACTGCACCCAGGTCGCACATGTGGACGCGTAGTCGCGCACGATGATCTTGTGCTGCCCGACGTCAAATGTCCAGGCCTCCTCTTCGCACTGCTTCTGCTTCTGCTGCAGGACTTTAATAATGACATTCAAATTTTGTTCCTGCTGCGATGTTGCCGAGACCGGTTCGTAGCCGAATGCCCGAAGTTGGGCTTGGGTCGCAGGCGATAGTTTTTCGAAGGCTTCGTTCCAGAGGTCTCGCGGTTGTGCTTCATTGTGATGATCCTTCTTTGATGGTTCGTGCGAATTTGACTCCTCTGTGTCTTCTTCTTTCGCCACGTGAATGAGCGAGTGTTGGGTATCGTTGTGCTGGATGTGTTTGGGTAGTGTTGCCGAGTTGCCTTGGGAGACATCCTGCGGTTGAAGGTCCTCGCAATGATCGTTTTCTTTCGGGGTCGAGTCTCTACAGAGCACCGACAAGGTCGCGCTTTCTTTTGACTGTTGTTCTGTAGGCTGATTGGGGTTGTGCCGTGTGCGGCTCGAACTTGTGGATCCACGATCGCCATTCGTCTCCTTGTGCCGTATACGATCCCGACCGTGTGAGACCTTCTCCTTCAACCTCCTCATATTTGCATTGACCCTTTCGATACAGAACCGGTTCTCTGTAGCCAGCAAGGGGCAGAGGTACTCACTCTCAGAACCTACCGTCGAGAAAAGCTGGTTGTGAGTTGGCTCAGCCGAACGCGGGGCTTGTGCATTAGTTCCAAAGAACTAGCGTTGATGTCGGCTTGCAATTGGCGCGAACTCTCCACGGTATGTTTGCTTTCCACATTTTCTAGCTAACTCGGTCAATTTTCCCAGGTGTTCATGACCTTTCCTCGAGTTTCCAGGCCGATCTGATTCCCTGCTTCTGTGCCGTCTGCGGAGTTGCAACCGATGTTTTCCAGTGCTGTTAGGTCGGCGTTGATAGTGCTACTGAGAGTATATGGTTTAGTTATATACACTTTAAGTTACACGACCGAACATTTGCCCACACATCTCAAATTAGGTTTAGAATTCGCAAGTAGACTAAAAGGCTTCCTTAAAGTTATTAAAATAAGGATATAGATCCCACATCTATTTACTGAAGATCCTTGTTCTAACAAACATTTGTAAAGCGGATTTTCCTCTATGCTGATCTTCGCCCGGGAATTTTTCGCCTCCTATACTAAATACCTACCTATTTTGCGAT